ACTCCCTTCCCTCCCTCCTTCCTTTCCAATAAGCCCGGGAGGTGTGATATTTGGAAGAAGAAAACCAGGCACCAAGGAAAGCCCATTTTCTTGTCTGTCACTGATGCCACAGGTAAGTCAGGGCAGACACCCCTCACCGATGCCTGGGGTGATGCCCTGCACCAATCTAAGTATGTCTCCAAGTTTTGAAGTTGATTAACTCATGACGCAAGTCCTCTCCCTGTTCCCGAGTTTGCGGAAACAAGCACATTTGTAGTAGATTTTCACAGAGCAGAATTAAAAACCCTTGTGCTGATTTAGATGCACGGAGTAGTTTCCTCTGGATTTTTGAGCAAACTTGCCCACCCAGCCCCCAGAATTTCCCTAAAATGATGGAAGACTTTGTCCAAAGACATGTAAAAGTCACAGTTCCACAGCCAATGCTCTGCCTGCCGTTAGATTGAAAAAGCACATTATCAGTTAGCCCCGACTCTTAGAGGCTCGAGACTTCTGAAAAATATGCTGGTTAGCAGCGGGCTGCGACAAAACAGCCTTGGAAAGCAGTAGTATTTGTCGATAATTAAACGCCATTAATGTTAGCTGTATTTGCGGGGGAGGGAAGTGAATAATTTGAATTCCTGAGGGAGTCTGGCCCTAGTGTCAGGCTAACAAATAGTTCCTGGAGGTCTTATTTTCTTCCCTCTGCTTTTCTGTCCCCCTGCTGATATCGGGCAAAATATCCCTCTATCAAATTGGCTGCACTTAATTCCCCTGGCAGCTTAAAAAAATTCCTGCTGCCCAGCCCCACCCAGTGGCTGGGAAGGGTTGGTCTGGGGAACCACCAGGTTACCACTCCCTGGGGAGAATCAAAGTCGCAAGGAGACTGAGAAACTCTGGACACCGGAACACAAAGAATTTTCACAGCCAGTTCCTTGTGAAAGGACCTGTTTTTACACAGGTGAAGCGTATTCCAAGAAAGCACTGAGCTGAGGGCTCCTGGAGGAAGTCTCACCTTCCTGGATCACTGAGCAGGTGAAAGACGTCTTCAGCCCATGTGTTGGTCTTTGGGACTGAAGCTATCACGGGCTTTTAAAGTTGGGGTGGGGGTGGCTAAGTGGGGACCTAAGTCACTGACCCAATGGGGCTGTTCCAGGGTATCAGAAGCACCCAGATATGGGAAGCCAAGCCCAGGTTTTTTTTTTGTTTGTTTGTTTTTTTGGTGGTGGGTGGGGGAGATGAGGCTGGCCACAGAGTGCCTTGGGAGGTTCCAGTGATTCTTCAGCCCACTTTGCCTGAGGGAGGTTATTAGAAGGAAAAAAAACTCCCAGGAACAAAGAGAGGCCCCCTGCTGTTGTGTGAAATCTGATTCTTGGGCTAAGAAATGTTTCCCAAGACCTGCTGCCCTCTGCCCTCTGCAGCAGAGGGCTGGGGGTGGGTATGGGGGGAGGTTAGCATCCTGGCAGGGTTCTGGGGGAGGGAGGAATTCTCAAACCTGCTTAGAGCAGGTGTATTGCTCTCACGTGGGTGAGGCCACAGCGTGCTGACGTTTGCTGAGCCCAAGGACGCAGATGTCAGGGAAGCGGTCAGCCTGCACCTGCTCCTGCGTGGCTTTCAGATGGGCAGGTGGGGACAAAGCTGACTGCACACAACCTCTGCGTGAACCAGACGCTCATTTCTTCACGTCTCATGAGCAGTCGCCTCCTGTGAAATGGGGCTAATGACTTCCGCCTGGTCGGATAAATGAGGTGGGGTAAGTGCCTGGTTCTTAGTAAGCGCTCTGTGGGTCAGTTCCTCACGCCGCTGACAGGTAACAAGGGCGGAGACTGCTCTTGCGCCTGGTGGCCACGGGCCCCTAAGTGCCCAGTTCAGTCCCCGTTGCAGGTGGGGCCCTGGGATGGGGCTTGCTCCTCCAGATCTGAGCGGTGATGTAAAGGCCTGACCTTTAGCAACTCCCTGTGAAGGCCCAGCTCTCTCCATCTGCAATGCCCTTGGCCATGACCTGAGGGGTAAAAGGCCCTCTGCCACGGGAAGCTACTGCAATGCTGAGGTGGCCCTGTGACTCGGGCATCCCCCCCACCTGCCCCAAATACAGTGCCATGTCTATTGTCTGCATTTATTTGCTCGCGGTTTGGAAGTAACCAAGAAAAGTAAGCGTTTAGCCCGGGCCTGGTCTGGAATTTTTTCAGATCTCCCAGTTGATCACCCTGCCCTGGAGTTTCGTGCTGGATGGGACCAGCTTCAAGAAAACATTAGGAGACATTCTAATTCATTTCTCATGAAGCACATTTTATCAGGACACTCATCTAAACAAATTAATCAAGGCCGGGTCTGAACCACAAAGCGTTTCAGGACCAGCTCTTAGAAGCCAGTGTTTGTCGGTAGGAACCTGTAGCCCCAAAATCATCAGTCACAGAAAGCACAGAGCCTGTGCCTACCCCCGGGCCCCTAGGCCCTGCCCCATGGACCGAGAGCAGCAGTTGGGACGCAAGAGAAGGAGGGGAAGGGCAGGTTATGTGTAGGCAGGCAGCCCCAAGGCGGAGGCGCTGGCCAGGGGTCCCTCACCCCGTTTGTTTCAGCGGGTATCCCCGCAGCCCCACTGGAAGTGCTGGGTGCAGGCTGCGTGACTTGGGCAGGGCGGCCGCTCCCTGACCCACCAGCACCAGCGCTGCCGGCCCCCCAGGGGAGCCTTGGTTTCCTCTACTTGGCTCCCAGGTTTTGGAACTGGGAAGCCACGTGTGAGGACCGTTAGGTATAAGGATGAGCCCCAACAAGTCTTTGGGACTTCTGAGGGGGCTGTCTATGCAGAAGGAAGCAAAGTGATGTTCACTGCAGGTTCCTGTTGATAGCGATCGTTTCTGCGGCTAGACTGAGAGCACCAACAGGCAGCTGGCCTCGGAAGCTGGCAGGTGCTGGCTTCCCGGATGCTGCAAAAGAGCGTGGGTGGTGTGTTCCTCCCGCAGAGGCGGCTGGGTAGGCAAGCTCCACGTTTATGCAGGCCTGAGGGGTGGCGGCCCTCACTATGAGCCTGGTTTTTAAATTCCCCACTCCCGGAGACAGCAAGGAAGGGGTGGGTGTACCACAGACACTACATAGCTCTGCAGGTGTTAGGAGAGACCCGGATGCTCTGAAAGCTCAGTAGGAAGACGGCGCCGGGCTCAGGGAGGGCTTGGCCCTGGGGGTCAGAGTCCAAGCTGAACCCTGACAGATGAGCACTGGGGAGCAGGAACCAGACCCCGAGGAGAATCCTCCCTCTGCCATGTGCCAGGTGTGAGGCCTGGCAAGTGGCAGCAGCCCCATGCCTCAGTTGCTTCGTCTGTAAATTGGTGCTAATAACTGAGAGATGATTGACAGATGTGCAAAGCGGTGATGATAAGGAACAGGAGCTAAAAGGAGCTGGAGGGCAGGCAGGTTTGGGGGGCCTGTGGGACACGAAATAGTAGCAATGATGTTACAGACGGGGTGGGCCCCTGAACCTTGGGGAGGGTTCTGGTCCTCAGTGGAATAGTCATGGAGGCCTGATGGGCAGTCATCAATCAGACTCAAGCAGGGCAATGGTCTGGGTTTGCCTTTCTAGATCTCACCAGCTGCTCTAAGACAAGGGGGTAGGAGCTGCAGGAGTGTAGAGGTGCGAGCTGGGTAAGGGCTGTAGTCCAGGTGGGGACTACTGGTGGCTCAAATGTTGGAGCCAATTTAAGAGTAATTGTAGCAAAAATTGATCAGATTTTACAGTTGATGGAGAGTGCCAGAGAGGCACAGACACTACCAGCTATATCACAGACACTACCAGAGTATGGTCATTCTCAAAAGCATTACTCAGAAGCCTAATATTCCAGGGACACTGCTACTGTTTAGGATTTTTCTAGAATTTCTTTCATGGATTAGTTTTCAGGACTTGAAGTCTAACTCTGGACTAGTCTTCAACATTGCTGAAAACTAAATCTTGAGATCTTTCTTCAGACCCAAAGAGGGAGGTGAGCAGTGGGTGGGGAGGAAGATGGCACAGAAAGGGCTGTGGTTGTGCTGAGGGATGTGTCTTGGGTCTGAGGGCTACAGCCTCAGTTCTGCCCCCAGATGATTTCATGGTGTTGCTAGCAGTTACAGCCACACCTGCAACTGTGGAAGCTGTGCCCCCAAAATGGAGTATACATTCCCTCCAGAGATAGCTTAACAGCACTGATCCCATGAGGACTGACTGGTGAGAACAGTTTTCCCCTGAAGGAAATGTGCTAAGACCTACACTCCTCTGCTTAAATGCTGGGCTCACTGGGCATGATGCTCATATGGCTTTGGATGTTTCTGTGGCCCCTAAATAATACAAAATCTTAATGCTGGTATGAAATATATTTATTTCACTTATCACAATGAGTCCTGCAATGGGCCTCTGTGTTCATGAGATGCCCATCCTGGGAAACTTATTGATTTTTCAGTGAAAAGAAGAAGAAAATCATCTCAGGAGTGTAACCCACCAGATACCAGTCTCTAGATTTACAAAATGCCTAATTAATAACTGTCTAAAACTAAGCCGGAGAACAATCAATTCAGCCCTGTCCAGTTCAGCCCAACTTAAGCCCTCAGAGGCAAATGTTGTCAGTCTTCTTTCTTATTAATGGTGAATCCATCCTTTCTCTTGGCCCCCACTCCAGGATTAAATCAGTAGTCCCAGAGTCCTTTCCATCAAACCAAACTTTTCCCTTGCTTCAGTCCAAGGCAATTTCTCCTGATTCTGTCAACATTTGGGGATGTAAATAGCAGTCACTGCAACAATTAATCAAATACCTGTAGACAGTTGAGACTCTCCTTAGTCATTTCTCATCAGAATGCTCAACCTCAATTCCCCCACCCCATCTCTGAGGCCTGTTTTTCCTTCATGAAATTATAGAACAGTAAAGCTGAAATGGTTTCTAAATGGCATGGTTCTGTCTCCTTGACAGACAAGAACTGCAGGTTACAGAGATGGGAGCAGCAAGGCACGCAGGAAGCAAGTGGTGGAAAAGGGACCTTTCGATCTCCAGATGCCCAGAGCCCCACTCTTTCCATCATTCCACCCGGCCAGCCAAACCGTGTCTCATTCTTAATCTTCTCTCTAGGTCCCTCCAGTATCTAAGAACAGAAAGGCCCAGATGAATTAAAACAAAATAGCTTCTCGCCAGCTAACGGCTGTGGCAATGGGGTGTTACATAGAGCCCACCTGTGAATAGAGGATTCTGGAACACGCCCAAGACTGAGTCCATGGATTCAGGAAGGGACTAGGTAGGCTAATGGACTCCCACAAGGAGTTTAAAGGACTCAGGATCGACTGGATCCAGGTAGTTGCTCACCAACTATGAATATCTGGATTCCTGAACACAAAACATTTAAAAATGCAGGTGGTTAGCTGGCCAGTGGTTATCTTTATATGTCATCACCACGCTTGCTGTGTAGGCTCATGTTAGGAAGGAGTAATATTAAAGACAAGGCATCAGACTATTTCTCCAAGATGAGAACGTATACTTCAACTTTCATTTAAAACAAAATAACAGCTCTCAGGTTAAATTATCAGCATGTGATCACCTGCAATACCCAGGGATGAAGGAAATTGCTGTTTTTCCATCAGAAAGGAAACCACCTCCCACCCCTCCCCGATGGAGTCACGTGACGTCGGATACTGTTTGACAGTCACTGCATGCATGCCCACTTTTGCACTGGCATGCGCCCATGCATATACACCTCAGCTCCACGCCCAGTCCTAACAGTTCCCTGGGCACTATCTCAGGAACCTGGGGACCTCGTCCACTGCCCTTCCTGCCATGCTGTTCACAGGGACCGCTACCCCAGTCTTACCCAGGCATCCACTGCCTGAAGTTTTCAACCAGTGACAGTTCACAGAAAACCATCTTTTCCCCAAGAAAATTCTTTCCCATTTCAGCCTTAGTGAAGCGTTCACAGGATGCAACATACTTCTAGAAGATAGATTTTATCACTCTTTAGCCTCATAAAAAGTAGTTCTGCAAAGTATTTAACTTGCTCAGGATAGTCTTTACCTTATACATTCCTAGCTTCAAGTTTTTGGACACAGTTGACTGCACATAATAAGTGCTCAATTAGTAAGAGTTAATTGAGTTGTCATCCTCTAGAAGTCTCTCGAGGAGAGTCTGAGAATGGTCTCATGTCACAAGAAGAAACACTAAAAATGGTTCAATCAGGTATTACGTGCTTTCTTGTGTGACAGAAGGATATCACGCCACTTACAACTCAGTCTTGCAGAAACAATCCTGAATCTGAATCTAAAGCATTAGGTCTATAGTCTTTCACTAGCATAAAAAATACTCATTAAGCACGTTTCATGTATCACGTAACCCACGTGAAGGTTACAGGTTAGCAAGGAGGTAAAAGTTAGTTGTCTTCCTTGTCACTGAACCACCAAGTGCCAGGACCATCCCTGGCAAAGGAACCAAATAAAAGCAAAGAAGCAAGATTTGGGAAAGGCCCAGCCCACCCACCCACCATCGAAGGCAGACTCATGAGGAAACAAACACAGGGTCCCCTTCCCCCAGAAGAGAGCCGCCCCAACACGCAACACTGAGACAGGCGGCCCGGACACAGGACACAGAAAGAGTGTCATGAGAAGAAGTGAACATTCATCAGGATATGCACTTTTAGTCACTAACATGTCAGTTCCCTATAGCCGTTTTCCTAACAAACTTCTTTTTCCGAACCCAACTTTGAAGGTTTGAAGAAGCAAGGCTGCAGGACACGGTAAAAGTTGCCAAAACATAAAATAGAATTTTTAAAGGTTTTGTGTTCTAAATGATGTTTATTGAACGTGAGAGATACAGGTTACTGTCAAATAATTTAAAAAGTCTCCATTTCATACGCAAAATCACATTTTCATCTCATTAAATGTAAGTGTATGTCATCTTTTTCCTTAATGGAAAAGAGAATTTGTATTGACCAATTCAAGGCACATCAGGAGATAATTAGTGATCAAAGAAAGCTAATGTAGTAAAAAATAGTTTCACTAATGATGTCTTTGGAAAAAATTGAGTATTCAGGTCTGTCAGCTGGTTTTCCTTTTCTCCTCCAAGCTGGTCACTTAGTGCAGTCTTAGTGAGACTGAACACAGGTAAGGTCCCCTGGGCATGGGTCAGATAACACTGGTGTCCAGCATGGGCCTCAAATCTGGCTCTTTCTACCTGTGCCATCTCCCTACCACCACTTCTCAAAGCAGATATGCTCTTTGGGAACATGGCTGTTTTCTAGTTGCTTGGAGAAAAAGTCTGTCATCGGAGGTGGACCACAGATATAGAACAAAGTCTCTTTTGAAATATGATCTCTTATCTCCTTCTCCGTGATTCTTCCTTCTACCAAAAAGAAAAAAGAATAAACATCAAATTAAGTCAGACAGACATGTTTGTATTGAAATGAGGAAGGACTGACTGCAACTCAGTGGCAGTGTTAACTTTCGGTAACTGGAGCTTGGTGAATCTTGCCATTTACGTGGCTCCTGTTAGCATCTGGAGGCAGATTCAAGCAGAGAGGGCATCTAGAAGTTTCTTAAACTTAGCGTTAGCAGAAATAGAGACTGATCACAATGCACGCCTCAGACAGGGCCAGCTAGCTTAGTGATGTTTGCTAGAGATTCAAAGGTACCTTCAGCAAAGAAAATAAACAGTTTTGTGAAAAATCCTTCGAAGCAGGGGAAACCATTAATGGCAAATGGAATCGATTCAGTCAAAGCCAGGATATAAATTCTTAGTATGCATACTATAGTGATGACGCAAATGTGGAAAATAAATTATTAATAGGGGCAGTAAGAAACCTGTACATAATAAGTAAATCCAACTCAATCTCTCCTCCTCTTTCCATGATGAATCATCTCTCCATTCCCCAGGGAGTTGGAATTCCCAACTCCCAACAATAAAACATCGACCGGCTCACCCCACTGGCAAGTCCCCCAAATACCTTGGAGGAGACAGTCAACAGATCTTCAGACTCACCAGTGATGTATGGCTTGAGTTCCGCGCTGATTTGTGTAGTCTGTTTTGTGACATGCAAACTGCATGCAATCTTCTCAGGAAATTCATTTACTAAATCGAGGATATTTTTCTGGAATGTCAAACATATTTGGTCACACTACAATTTTAAAAAAAAGAATCAAAACAGATGTGCACCACCACCGACCGGACTCAACTCCCATTCTGCACACGTCTGCCGCTCCCGCTCAGCACTCAGAGGGATATTGTTCGCAGCCTAGCAGGCCAGAGCGTTCAGAGCACAGAGGGCTATTTGCTTTAATTGAAATCTGAATATGCTAACAAGCATATTACTAACTCTCCGGGAGTTTTTTTTCTTCCTTTTTCTCGCCTATTGGCAATTAGGCAGCAGTTTCACTGACCACAGTTGTGTCTTTTAACTGTTTCTGTTCTTTTGTTCATCTCTGCAGCTGCACACCCACCAGAGTGAAAGCCTCTCCCTCGAAGGACTGAGTTTCAACAGATGTGACGGGAGTTTCAGTGACCCAGCTGGGTCCAAACTGCCAAGAATCACCTACTCTTGGAACACAAAACCCTCCCTCGCCCCCCGGCTCTTGACTCTTTAGGGAATCTTGGGGTGGTCGTGGCTCTGTTCATTCATCTCTGGAATCAAGCCCCCTCCCCACTCACTGATTGCATGATCCCAGGTAAGATATGTTGGCTAATTCTTACTTGAACATGATTACGCCTTGGCAGGCCTTTTATTGGGACCAAATGCGGAGAAGACAGGACTGAGAGACGAAAGTTCTCCAGACAGCGACTACCATTCCACAGGGCTGCTCAGGGCGACCCTAGAACACACCTTCCGCCCGTACCTGAAACAGGAGCTCGCTGGTGTTCTTGGCACTATAGAACAGCTGCACCGCTCCCATCTCACAGCCGCTTCCTTTGTCCAGCCACTGTCGGTGCAGGTCTGCCGAGTGCCGGAGGATGGAAAGCAGCGGGTTAATCCCGACTCCTCCTGCAATCAACACCAGGTTTCTAGCGGCTTCTGCGGGCTCAGGGTCAAAGTAGAACTCTCCACCCACTCTCACGGCAACTTCGGAGCCAAGTGTACACTGAGGCAGGAAAGAAGCCATCTTAGTGCGGATGGTGCAGGCCCACTCCAGCAGGCCTGACAATCCACCTCCCGCACCGCTGTCGGTATCCACCGCTGCTGCAACAGCTTGCTCTCGGTTTTCTCAGGGCCCTGGGAATTGCTCCCTCTTGTCCATCACAGAGGCCATTTGCCAGTGCGCCCCTGTGTCCCCACAACACAGCCACTGGGGTGTGGAGAAAAGCAGGCTGGCTTCAGTACTTCTGCCGTTTGCTAACTTCTCAGGTGATGCCTGGGCTGTGGAGCATGCCAAGAGACTCAGGGACACTTCTCAAGTGTGGGTTTCCTTTCCTGAGTGGCTTGGGCTCTGATCAAAGCCCAGGAGCTGACAGACAGGAGGGGGCAACTGTCACTAGCGGGGGCTGCCCTGGGCTGGGCAGGGCGGAGGGGAATGGGACTGCGGACCTGTTCAGTACAGCCTGATGGGGTACGGGGTTGGGGGGGGCACCCACAGCAGCAAGAACAGGCAGCCAGAGGCTTCCCACTAGGGGGTACATCCCAGTTACACCCCACCCAGGCAAAGAACTACTAGCTGCTGAAGGCACTGGTTCCCCTGGGGCAACACTGTCCCTGCGGGGGTGTTTTGGAGATGGGTGGTGACATGTTATTGTCACAGGAATTGAGGGAACCCAATTGGCACTGAAAAGGCAGGTGGCATTCTTAGGAGCTGGCTCAGCTCCTACCAAGCTGATGGTAAAATGGGCAGGAACTCTGTGAGCCAGTTTCTGCGTGAAGCTTGACATCAGCCACCGGGGATGGCACGCCACACAGAACTCAGGAGGGCAAGTCGGGGTATGATGCAGACTGGGGTCAGCAGCGCCCCCGTTCCCTGCAATGCACAGGACAGCCCTGCGCTGACTTCTGAAATGACCCAGGGGCCATCGCACAGGTGGAAAAAGCTTTGTAATGTCACAAGATTCATTTCACAAAAGACTCACAGGCCTCTCTGCATGGATCTATACTCTCTGGATTTTCCAGAATGCCAGCACTATGCAGACTGTATTTTACTGTATTCAGGAGGTCTCCAAGCATGTCCGCTGTTCTGCAAAACCACCTCCCAGTTGCTAACATGCCTAAAACTTGTATCATCTGCATCTTAAGCGTTTTCATGGCAATCCCAAGCTGAGGAACAGTTATCTGATTATTTCATGTGTCAAAATACACAGACTTTGGTCAGGAGTCACTTTATTTCTCCTTTGTACGGCACTTAGAGAATTATGTTATCTTCAAAATATTTTTGTGTTGATGACACTAACTGTAGGACAATTCTAGAAAGGAAGCCCTGGCTCTGTTAAAGTTGAGAAAGTGGTGAGAACCTCTAGTTTGGAGAAAACTACTGATACAGAAGTCAAAAGCTGGGTTTAACCCCAGCCTCTGTCCCATCCACTCAGACCCTTAACTTCTCCTTTTCTCTGCTGCTGCATCTGGAAAATATGTAACTGCACAGCCCCGCCCACCTTACAGGGCTGACGCCTGGGGAGGCCAGAGGGACTTCCCGCTCGCATCAGCCTCTACGTGAGTGGGCATGTTGGCTGTTGAGGCTGTAGTGTCAGAAAAAGCACCTGCACAGGCTTCCTTTGTCCCGTGACTAACAGAAAATAGGAATAAAGACATTTCTGTTAAGAGCGTAAGTTTGTTCGATTACATGTTCCCAACATAAATTAACTAAATGAACTCCCTTCTAAGAAGAGCGTACTGTGTGCTTTCTGAAGACCAAACTCAGCAACCGACCTCGGCACCTTGCATGGCAGGTAAGCATTAAGGACTTTCTGACATGAATTTAATTCTGAAGAGTTAATCATAGAGAAAATCTAAGGAAAATGAAAATTATCTGAATTCACCCACTGGGCCCTTTTTGATAAAGAACTTGTAAGTGGATGGAAATCCTTTCTCTGAAGGAAAAGAAAAAGTGTGAACTTAACTACTTCAAATATACAGGAGATCTGTGCATGATGGATGGTAAGTGGGTTTTCATTTTGAACAAAAGAAATTAGCAGCCAGGGAGCATTCTGTTAGGAATAAGTAAAATCGAGGCACCATGACACAGGCTACTTTGAAATGCTCCTTCCTTTCAAGTCTCGAAAAGAGAATCTAAGACACCAGGGGTTCCGCCAGAGGATGACAATGGCTTTCATCCTGTGTCTCCCCTACCCCTTGCTGGCCTGGAACTTCTGTCTCCAGAAAAGTCTAGAGGAAAAGAGACAGAGAAATGAAAGGGAAGTTATTTCCTCCAGCAGTCAGCTTCAGCAACTTGGTAATGACATCAAACCCAGCCTTTGGGTGATTGCTTTTAGAAAGCAGAGCATCTCCAACCCCAAAGTTGGCAAGAAAATGGGCCCCAGGGAAAGATAATACACAAAAAGCCTGTGGTCGTCTCCTTAGTGACAAAATAATTTTCAGTAGACTTATCTTCTAATCTGCTAGCATCTGGAAGGAATCAAAAGTCACTTTTGTCTTTTGTTGGTCAATAGAAACGACCGGTGTGGTGTGAACACAGGCCTCACAGGCCTTACCATATGCCGTGGAAGCGAGTCAAGGACATTACTTTCAATTATACTGAAATGTATCTCATTTGGGGAAAGATTTTCCACCTTTCCCCTGCAGCTGGAGCTCGGTACCCTTTGCCCTGCCAGGAGCTCCAGCCAAAGCAGATAAAATAAAGGAAGACGTTTATGGCACTTCATCTCCTGTCCCAACGGAGAAGCCTGCTGCCACCCACACTCACGTGCCTCCACTGTCCATGCTAATAGCTTAATAAGACCAGTCCTCGGGAGGAAAACAGCCACCTGAGGACAGTTCCAAGAAAAATCTGACTTCCTAAAGGCCGCTTGCAACTCCCACTGGGCAGAGGGAAGAGGCGCGACTATTAGGACGTGCATTCAAGAAACGCAGTTGGAGGTTTTCTACCACTCAAGTGTAAGTTCCTTCATTAAAATGCCAATGAGGCATGACACCGAGCGGGGAGTCCTGGACCAGGACCAGGTCAGGGCGCGTGGGGGCTGACAAGTGAGGGGCTCGGGGCACGAGGAGCAGCGTGCTAAGCTCACTTGAAGTCTGAGGACACGAAGACCACTGGCCGGTCCCATCCCTGTGGCATCTTTCAGAGACTCAGGGCACAGTCTAGAGACAGTGATGGGTGGAAAACCCAGAGAGAATGCAAAAAGGAACGGGGTGGCTGAAGCCTCACCCAATGAGGGACTGAGAAGGTCAGGGGGTGAGCATTTGCAATGGAGATGGGAAGGCGCACCTGGAAGCTGCTCTGCACACAGCTTGACATGCAAACCACCAGGAGAATCTGTGTGTGTCCTTCATGCTCCGTCGACTTCAGGTTTTTTGGAATCATCTTATTGAGAAAACTTTCTTCCCTTTTGGTGTGCAGTTTATGAATTTTATGTAGATCTGTGCAGCCACAGCTAAAGATGCACACAGTCCCATTGCATTTAGATGTAGAATCTATTTTAAGTTGATTTTGAATAGAATGTGTGAATTTTTTTTTCTTTTGGCATAGGTATGTACAGTTGTTCTGGCACTATCTGTTAAAAAGATTGTCCTTTTTTCGTTGATTTTCTTTAGCTTCTTTGTCAAAAATCACATGACCATGGGTGTGTGTGTATCTCAGAGCTCTTTATTCCGTCCCATTGATTTGTGTGTCTACCTTCCCTCCCGGCACACTGTTTTGATTATGACAGCTTGATTGGAAACTGAATTGACTGATTCCTCAACTTTATTCTTTTTCAAAATGATCCTAGATTTTTAACTTCTTCTGCCTCTCCATATAAACATTAGAGTTGGATTATTTAGATCTACAAAAAGTCCTGCTGTATTTTGTCTGCTGTTAGTATATCCAGACAATCAGTTTCAGAGAACTGACTTCTCTGTTGCGTCTTCTCATCTATAGACATAGTATAGCTCATGTCTTCTTTGATTCCTTCATGCAACTGCGTGAATAGGAATTTTTTTTTTTTTGATCAGCTTGTTTTCAGGAAGGTCCTACACTGTGTGATGAGCCAAGAGAGTGTCCCAAACCAACATTCACAACACAAAAGTGTACTTCAGCCACTACAAGGACATACGGCTTCTCTGGGTGAGCTGACGTTCTGCATGCCCTGTCTCCCAACCAAACCCAAGTGCATCTTGCTGGAACCTTTAACTCCTCCTTTTTTCCACATTCCTGTGCAGACCGTGGTTACGCTAAGAACTCAGCTAAGCTACTCCACGGTGTTGCGGCCTTGAAATGTCATTTGTTGGAAAGCAGACTGTGGGGTCTCTACTGCCGCTAGCTCTGATGCGAACTCACTGCCTCATCCACAGCCTGCAGAGCCACAAGGCAACAGCCATTCCAGAAGAGATTTCCCAGTGGCCCTTGCCATTGCCAGTTCCCTGACTCCAAAGTCTTTCTCTTTTGGGACCCTTAGGTAAGACCCCCACAGAGCCTACCAAAACCCTGCTCTTTTTGGCTTGACAAGTCTCAGGCACCCCCAAGCACTCCTCCCAAGGAGCCTTATACAAGCATATACCCCATGTGCTGGTCTCTGCCTACACCTGCCTTGACCTCCTCAGATGGACCCGTGAGTAAAATCCTCCACCTGAATTTGCTCTAGGGTCCCTTCACCACACCCCACTGGGCTCTCTTAACAAATGCTGGTTTTACAAAGTCACAAGAAGCCATCAGTTTCTGCCTCTACTCCACGCCCTCCGTGTTCTTGTGAGCAATCTCTGACTGTTGGTCTCTGTCCTCTCCTTAGTCCCGCGGCTCCTACACAAACATAATAGCCTCCTGTAAAACAGAATGTTTCTAAGCTGTGCTGAAAATAAAGTTTTCTGTTCTCCTTTTCTGATCATTTCCAGGAAAAGAGGAGGGGAAAGCTCTCTGTGAAGTCAGATTTGTGTGGGTACGTTCCCTTTTTAGTAAAGGGGACAAGAAATGACTGGGGTGAGATGGAGGCTTTTGGAAAAAACAGACAGCATGTTTCTAGAAGTGAAGATGGCAGCAAGGAGACATGAGTCAAAACCTGAGGAAACAAGTAACTGATCTGCTCCGAGTTCATTCCACGTTATCAGAGTTCCAGCAGGCAAGGAACAGCGTATGTAGGACTGTGTTTAGCCTGGGGGTAAAGCGTGAGTTATTAGCAGCAAATGTGGGTTCCCTCTCAGATCCTGTGCAAAGAGCTCTCCAGAGACTGACATGGCACCGCGGAGTTAGCAGTGCTCGGCTCCAGCCCAGCACTATCTAATCAAGAGATCACATCCCCTCCAAAGGAGAGATAGTTTAATTCTCTTTATTTAAGATGGTTAGGACAAGACCATCTGCTTTAAAGATGTGCCATTTACATGACATAAAGAGTGAGTTTCAAAAACTTACATATGGAATAAAATGTCTAATCCTAAAGTGGTATTAACACAAGTATAGTTTAGTGACCCAGAAGATATTCCCAGATCCCAGAAGATCTTTGGACCATCATCCTTCATGCAGCAAAAGGATTCTGCTTCTTTGCCCTTTCTGGAGTCTGCATTTGGGATACGGGGGTGCTCTGCCATCACACGCGCCCTTTCCTCTCAAGCCCTGAGGTAAGTGTGCCAAACACTTTTTGTGGTGCAGGGCAGAGAGGCCCAGATTCCCAAGTTCAAACTGGCAGTTCACGCACCTGATTGTGAATCCAGAGAGATGGAGGGTGGTTCGCGTATTTCACCGCCAGCTCTATCATTCTCTCTTGCTCCAACAGTCTCGGGCTGGAGCATATTGAGAATCCACCAACCACAGAGACTCCTGGGATGAAGAAATCAATCCTGCAAGGTGGATAATTATTGTTGAAGTAATTTAAAAAGTGGACAAGATAAGCAAAACAGACATACTTTTAGCATGACTAAGAAAAGGCAAAATGACTGATGTCAAAAATGAAAGGAGGCAACATCACCAGGCTTACAAGCATGAAAAAGACGATACTATTATGAAAAACTGCAGGACCAAACCTTACAATGCTGATGTGAAATGGGCATATTCCTAGAAAGATACAAGCTGTCAAATGGAACTTAAGAAGAAACGGAAAATATGAACCAGCCCATACCAAGTAAATGAAGTGAAAAGTCATTTTAAAGCTTCCCACAAAAAAGCATGATAGGTGTAAAATCACCACTGGTAAATGCTACAATTTAAAAAGAATTAATACTAATCCTTCACAAGCTCTAACTCATTCTAGAAGGCCAGTTACACCCTGATAAAGCTATCGCAAGAAAAGAAACTATCAATATCCCTTGTGACCATAGATTAAAAAAAAAAAACACCCAAGGAACAAAAGGTCGGTTTAGCATCTGACAATCAATCAATGACATAGACCGTATAGTAGAACAAAGGACCAAATCCACACGATCATCTCAATAGACACTGAAAAGGCATTGGATAAAATTTAACAGCTTTTTATAATAGATCTGGAAAAGCTGGAACCCTTCTACATTGCCAGTGGGATTATAAAATCCACTTTGGAAAACAGTTAGGTGGTGACTTAAAATGTTCAATGGTTACCATATGACCAATGATCTTTCTCCTAAGTAGAAACCCAAGAGAAATGAAAATATCTGTCCAATTGAAGATCTGCACGCAAGTGTTCAGAGCACCGTACAGAGACTGAAAGAGACTGAAAGCGGGAGCAGTTTAACTCTGCACCAGCTGATGCTGTAAACAAAACACAGTGTGTCCGTGCGATGGAACGGCACACCGACACCCCACTGATGAAATCCACACAGATGAATGCTGAAGTTACATGCCATTGGAAGAAGAATTTATTAGACATTCTCATCCCCATGTCTAGAAAACTCATGCATCCATCTAGATGTTTCTCAGCCATCTAAAGACGAAAAGTATCACTCTCATGCCTTGTTTTCCTATCATGCAAAGCACACAGTGTTCTGTTAGTTTGACTATGACATGAAGAGATGTTTTCTTCTGATCTTTGACCTTAAGTATCCGGTCAGTGTTTATAGTCAAAAAACAAGTCTGGCCTAGAAGTACTCCATTTCTGGTCTCTATATTCACTTGATTCTTATCCATAAATATTTTACTTTCCCTTTCATTTCAGACCATGGACAATATTTATCAACACGGGAGCTATATACGATTTAGAAAGGAGGTATACAGCATCTCCCTTGATGCCATGTTTAAAAAAACACAGCGAAGATCTATCTACACTTGAGGCTCCATCTCCTGAACTATACCGCCCTCTACTGCTTGATGTTGATAAAGATTGTTCTCCAAGGTGAGTGAAAGGGGATTTCTCTTCTCTAGTAACTTGGGAAGGCTGCCGCCACCTTTGGAAAAAGAACTCCGTTCAGTGCTATAGAAGAATTTGAATGGCGTAGAAACCTCCTCTGAAGGGAATTAAGAAAATAAACATGATACATATCTAGTAAAACATCCAAGAATTAAATTTTAAACACGTACACCTTTAAAAAGGTGGATCAGCACTGCTAGAGTCAGGAATTGAGGCCCTACTGCACCCCAGGACTACCTGCAGAACTGAGAGGCTCAAGTCTGCAGGGGAGCACACATCTCCTTACGCTGTAGTCCCACAGGCAGCCCAGTGCCCAGGGAAGCAGCCCCATACCAGCACGCAGCGGGCACACTAACAGGGTGTGCCTGTCTTTGCCAGGACACCCCAACACCCTACAGTACTTGCGGCCCCCACTCTTCCTCGTGCCAATACTACCGAGAACACCGAGGACGGCCCATGGGAACTCTGTGATGGGGACCATGCGCGGCACTGACACCTGTCAGGAAGGAGATGCACTTCCTTAGCCTAGATTTCTTCTTCCCACCGACATACGTGATCCTGGTTGTAACAGGAAAACATTAATAAAGCCGGAGTAGGTGGAGGGCAGGGAGGAGAGGAGAGGGCGGCACTCATCAATTCTCCTGAGCATGAAGAATTCAGAAAAAGTTCACACGAGTCTGAAGATCACATGGCATCCACCAGACCAGCGGTGGAGGAGGGCAGTATGACGGGCCGGGACACCGCCCGCCATGGTGGCCCCGCAGGAGAGCAGGAGGCCGACCTGTCGCGCTCACCCTCTCCTCCAATCTGTTTCTTCCTAATGTTCTCTTGGCAGGGCCCAGAGTCACTTTCAAGCATAAAATCTTAAGTGATCTTGGATTAAGTTGTATTATGCAAAGCCACACTTCTCCCCACAAGACCTCTGGCTTCCTGTCAGGTGGCGCCCTGGGCTCAGCCCAGGGTGAAGCCAGTGCCGACTGCGGCCCCTCAGGTAGTAGAGTCACGCTGTCACCCCTCCTACTGGCCTGCTGCGCTACCAACCTGCGACTTCACTACAGGGTATAGGGCATCCCGCCGAGGAACTCAACTGGAATGTGGCCCTGGGCCTCACCAGCCCAGATGCTCTAAATGACTACGTGAAACACTGGCAGTAACAAAAACGGAAAACAAGAGACTAAAGCCAATCCTCAGAAGTCGTGCTGAACACAGGACACAGCCCAGGACAGAGGCCTATTGCTCCTCCCTGTGCAGAGCCATGGAATAGACACCGAGAAGAGCAAGGAAAATGCCCACAGTGCAGTGTTAGCAGGAAGTGGGGCGAGCTGGGGAGCAGGTCTCCTGGGCACCACGCGGGCTTCAGGACTACAGGTGGCATTCTCCACCCCTGAGAGGGTGTGTGGCAATTTGCCAATTTTCCTACCCCCAGGGAGCAGGAATTCTGCGAAGGCCAAAAGCAGGATCACAAGAAGCCCGGTAATAAGGGGAGCCGGGTGCACCAGTGAGAGGCGCTCAGGTGAGACATGGCTCTCAAAGCTTTCTTCTTTGGCCTCTCTCTCCAGACTAGACTCCTGACCTCCTGGAAGTAATCTCACGGACAGGACCAGCCTCCACAGGGAACCTGGCCAGAACACAGTGAGCTCGGGAGAGCCTGAGGCCTCTCTGGTCTATGCAGTGTCCACTGAGTGCCTAAGTCCGAAGCTCGGAGCATTCGTGCATCTATTTAGAGGCCTGGAGCCTCCCCCTCAGAGTGTGGCAGGGCAGAGGAGGCCACTGGCCTAGAGCTCACAGATGTTCTCAGTCTCTGCCGAGAACAGCAGGCCTGCCCATGCTCAAGAGCAGCGCTCCACTCTGAGCAAACGGCACAGCAGTCACACTCCACGCTCCCTCCTTCCCTATCCTTGTCCTTTCCCCAAAGGGCCATGAGGAGGAGACCCAAGAGATCTGAGAGAGCTATGGTGCAAGCCAGCTAGCAGTAACACCAACGGAGCTAAGGGCCACCCCATAAGCCCGAAGTCAAATGTCGACAGGCACTCACTGTGTGTTGGGGTGAAGCGGTGGCCTTCAAAAGGGGGAGGGTGCAGGTGCCAGGAACCCACATGTGGCAAGGAGAGGGCCACCCTATACCACCCGAGATGACCACCCCCAAGCTTGCCCCACAAGCAGGAGACAGGCTTGTGGGAAAACCAGCAGGAACATGAGCGAGGTCACGGCTGACACAGCGTCTCCACCCGCCAGAGGCGGTCTCTGTCTACCGCTGGGACGCGGGGGTCCTTTTCTTTTCAGGCACAACACAGGAGCAGCTTTATGAACCAAACGCACAGGCTTCTTGTACTCAGTACATGGGGTCGGCGCCAGGGCCCCAGTTGAAGGTGCAAAGGGAGCGCTGTGCACAGGGTACAAACACTCCCGCAGACGGGAAATGCAGAAGAATAGACTGAGACAATCAAAGTTCCCACTTAACAATTGAACGACCGCTTAACTATCTGTGCAGGGTAAAAATGTGGCCCACCCCCTGAAAACAGCCCAAATGCATTTAATATGTATCACTGAACATGTGCAAAGATTGCAGTAAATTGCTTCACCAACGCAAATTATTGCAATCAGCATCTTGTTTTCTAGTTCTAAATTCAAAGGCAAACTATTAACACAAGACTGCTAACTCTTGCTATTATCACACTTGCTATTATCACACATCCTCCTTCTAACAAAACCACATTTCCAGATGGACTGCCAAAATTAGTCAAGTGACTCCTAAGAAACACTACCGAGACTGACATGCCAGAAATTCATTTAGAAATGAATGCTTTATTCAAATAAAGGAAACATACACCCAAACACACCTTTCCTAGGGAAATACGGGCAGTCTTCTTTACAATTCCACTTGGGCTGCTGCTGGGCAAGGCTGTGTGCAGGCACAGCGGGGCTCACCGAGGCCACAGAGCCCGGGGGGGGGGGTTTCCAAAGAGGGGTGCGGGCTGGGGAGCCTGCAGTGAGATCAGCGAGTATTTAAACTCAGCCCTGACCAGGTAAGCGTGATGCACGAATTCAGCTGAGGGTGGTCAGCTCTGTGACGTCAGCTGCTATTCCTCTTTTCAGACTGTTGTTTATTGACTGGATTTGACACACATGCAGATTTTTAAGAAGTCAATCAGTTCCAGCAACACATGACTCAAGCAGATTAGATTTTTGTGGTGCATTCTATTAGCGACCATTCCTGCAGAACATACTCATCAGCGCTGTCTCGTGCACCCTCCAGAACTAGCTGCTTTCCTTGAATGTGAAAACTCCAGGCGGGGATGTTCATATGACTCAGGGGTCACTAGCTCAAACAGAGAGGTAGGTTCGGAGGCCAGCAAAGGATTCAGATTCTCCCCGCCAGAAAAGGCTCACCCAGAGTAGAGATGGTCTAGACATGCTACCCTCAGGAGCCGCGGCTGGCCACAGAAATCCTTTCCCGTAGGAAAAACAAGCCCTTCTAGCGGACAGCCCCTTCCTGAACACACACAGCTCAGGAAAGAAAAACCACTCACCACTGGCCGGCTTTAAAAGAAAATTCTCTGTCAGCAATCAGCAGGCGGAGTCTCTTCACAGATGGGGACTCATGGGCAATTCCACACACCTTAGCGGCTGCCACCACCTAGAGCCGGAAGAGGGATGTGGCTCAATCAGGTTACTGTGCCCACGATGCCAGGAACAAAGTGAGATGTCTGGAATCTAAGGCTTTTTGGAATCTTCTAAAGCTAGGGCTTCTGAAATGTTCAAGCAAAGCACACTTTGCTTGAAACTTCTGCCTACCACTAAGTGAACGCATTTTGTCACCTAATTTTTGAGACTTCTGATTTTTCTAATTTTGAGACATCTAATTTTTCAGACTATCTTAATTTTCCTCTGCAGACAAAAACCACCTCTTAGCAAGTGTTTATTTGATGAGCACTCTGGGAAGTGCTTGGGGGCACATCAACCTCCTGTCTGTCCCCCCTACTCCCCCAAAACTGAGACTCCCCAGAGCCCACACTTGTTCTGAGTCTGCAGAGTCCTTGCTAAACTAATTTCAGAAACTAAAAGTCAGAAACTAGGAACTTTGGGGAGCAGTTTCACAGAGTAATCACACATCTGTTGACTCTAGTAACAGAAAACAAATTAGAATTGTAACTCGTTTTAGTATATTTAATACTTATTTTTATTTGATTTCTTTTCCTTCGTTCACCTTCCCTTCTTCCTTGTCCCTTTCCCTCCCCTTCCCTGTTAACCTCAGAGCCCTCGCAGTGTTAATGTCCATCAGTTTTTTTTTTACTACCAAATTTTCTGTCATGTCCAGTCCAGTAATGTCCAGTAATGTCAATGTCCAGTATTTGTCACTCTAGTTTGCTTTATTACACACGATTCCCTCAAACACCTTCCATTTTGTGGAAAATGGCTGCATTTCATCTTCCTTGCAGCTGAGTAGTAACTCCCAGCGTGGCTACCCCAGAACTTCTTGATCCAGGTGCTACAGATGGACATTTGGGCCACTCCATGTCCGGCTTTCGGGAAGCGAGCTGCATCGTGACAGCATGTTTCCTAATCTTTGCTCACTCATTTTGTTATATTTTACAAACTACAAAGCCCCAACCTTAAACAGCAACTAACAGCCCTTCCTTCCACACAGCCTGAAGAGCACTGTTCTCATGATGTATCTGATATCTAGAAAACCCTGAGGAGGTCTGATTTAGGCAGCCTTCGGTTAAGTGCCACCCAGCACTGCTCACGTTCAAAACGCCTCTACTTTACTTCGTTCTTCGCACCTCAGGTTCCTCTTCCTCCCTAAACTTGGGACACTTCTTCACCAAGGGGTGAAAGGAACATGACTCCTTACCTGCTACTCCATTTAACTCCACTTCAGATAGCAAATCAAAATCACACCAAGTGACCAAGCCAGTCATTCTCTTTGGGGGAGTGGGGTGGTAGCTTCCTGGCTCCCAAAAGACTGTGGGGGAATCTCTGAAGGCCAGTGAGCTCCCACACTACCACAGCTCACACAGCCCTTTCCTCCAATAGGACCGGTCCAACCCAACTGCAGGAGGCAATTCTTAACAAGCCACTGGGAAGTTCTCGTGAAGAACGTGGTCTCCTGAAACTGTCTCCTGAAATTGGCCGCCTCTTTCTCTGGCAAAATCCCTGGCCTCTCCTTCTGTATATTTTTGCCAAGCCTTCCTTCCTTCCAAGGGGGTGACTCTCCACTGCGTCTCTCTCTCTCTGTGCCTTCGATGCTAGTCCTGCTGATCGACTCTGAAGCCCTGCCTCGTCAGCACCCCCCGCCCTTTCATGCTCCACTTTCCTCTCTCTAGGTCTGTTTCTTTGGACATGTCTGATAGCATCTGCCCAGATGAGCAACCAAGACCAAAACAGAAGGAGCCGCATAACATGGCTGTTCATAGCTTGAAAGTGAGGTGACCTGTTTTAATCCTGGTTCCAGCACTAACTACCAGCTGTGTGACTCTGGTCTGAGGACTGCGTTCCCTCAGCTGCAGGAGGAAAACACCTCCACCCAGAGAATTGTGGGGAGGATTAGGGAACACATGCAAAGCACTCACAACACTGCTGGCCCAAGGTAAGTACTCATTCTCAGCTGTTTGACTGCAGCAGTGATAACGATTAGCATGTATTGTTCTAGCATCTACCAGCTTCATGGTTTATTATTGCATAAGCCACTGCTCCAGTGCTGCCACGCTGACCTCAGGAACAGCCCCCGCCCCCAAGGGGTCTATTCTCATGGGGACAACAGGGCTGTCCACCTTGGTGGCCACGTCCCATGGCCTATAGAGACATGGAAGAGCCAGACTTGGGATTATGCCACTGACGGGTCTGGCCTTTCACCCTGGCTCTACTGTCGCGTCTCTTCCTTCCCAAGTCTTCCCCTCGGCCCGACGCGCTCCATAACCACAGGTAACTGGCTTTCACTGGCAACGTCTCCTTCCAAGGTTGGCTGGTGTCTTCCTTAACAACCAAACTCAATGCCCAGTCTCAATTCTCACCCTCCCTGATCTCTCTGAATTTGAAGCTTTTGCTTCTTTTCTACCCTGAAGCATTCTCCTTGCCTGGGAGAGCTGACGCTGAACTCCACACTCCCTGACCTGGCCTCCTTCTCCTTCACTGTTCCTCCTTCCCAATTCCTCAATGGGAAAGCTCTTTGAAGCATATTTTATTATATATATATATATATATATATATATATATATATATTTAAAGATTTATTTATGCATACAGAACTGGGGTACAGGGCAGAGGTGCAGGGGCAGCGAGAAGATTCACCAGAGACAGAGTGGGGAGCAGAACAGGCAGAACAATGAAGTACACTGCTGAGGGGAGCAATGGGCAAGACAAGAGAGGTGGGTCAGCTCCCCGGTTGGGGATCAAACTTGCACTGAAGTGGCTGCAGTTAGCTTTGAAGTGCTGCACTTTAATCTGTTGCACCACCAGGGAAGGTCCTGAAGCCTGTTTTAAATGGTTATACTCCTCTCCTACCTCTAGGCTGGGCCTTGAGCATTCCCAAAGACCCTAGCCCACCTCCCTCACTCATCAGTATTTCCCTGCCAATCACAGGCTCACAGTTACACTCCTGTGAGGAACAGTAGTCAATGTCTAAGGCGCATCTGGTGCAAGTATAACTGGGTGCTGGTTAAATGTTTTATGTGCATTAATTCATTCAGTTGATATGAGTAACCACATTACACCCCAAGAATGGTGTAATCTTCCATTCTGCACAGGAGGAAACTGAAAGGTTCAGTCACTTGCTCAAGATCACTCAGGAGTGGCTGAGTCAGGGTTCAAACCCGGGTCTGCTTGGCACTGATCACATGGTGGTCCTGGCCCAGTGGGAAACTGGTTTATGTTACAGCAGACACACCATGTACATGCCTCCCGCAAATACTTCTAGAATATTCCTGACATTTCTTTCAATTCCCTAGGTCAAGCCAGACCCAATACACTGTAAGTTTCAATAAGTTTGCAGAATGAGTAAAAAATTTAACAAAACTGTTAAAATTTATTTCCAGAACAAAGGTTAGAAGTTCAGAAACCTTTTGGTTTTTCACAGAGACAGGTGATAACAAAAAATACTACAAAGGCCCTCCTTGGTAGCACAGCGGGTTAAAGCACAGCACTAAGAAGCTAAAGCCACTTCAGCATGAGTTCGAACCCCGCCAGCCCCGGAGGTGACCACATGGCGTGGCAGACCTCTCCTGACCCGCCCGCTGCTCCCCTCAGCAGTGTACTTCCTCAGTCGGCCTGTTCTGCTCCCCACTCTGTCTCTGGTGAATTCTCTCACTGCCCCAGTGATTCTGGCCTGTACCGCAGTTCTGTATGCATAAATAAAATATATCTTTAAAAAATACTACAGAACTTTGGGATTAATTTTAAAACTGTGGGCGAGGTCAAGAAAGGCAGGATTTCTTCAGCAGAACAGAAACCTTGCTTTGCCTCATTTTATGGTTTAAATATCTCATTACAAAGACAAGTAATAACTATCAGAGGACTCACCATTACATCATTACTTTCATTTTTCACGGTTTACAAATAAAACGTTTATTTGATAAGCATTCATTATTTTCTTTCAATATAATAATTCTGTAAAAACATCAAGAGCTAGATTATCTCATTTATAACAGTTTAAGTGACATCGGTCAGATTGTCTAATGAAACTAAGTACATATAAGCTTTAAAAAACAAGGCAAAATTTGTCTGATGGGCAGTGTTTGTTGGTTAACACAGAAAGGGGGGCAAGAGCAAACAGAATTCCAACTGAAGCATGAGACTGCTCCCCAATTAAATGCTAGATAGACAGAAATCCCCAATCACTTGCTGAAGCCCAAACGCAAGATTAGTGAAGGGAAAGATGTCATATTTTCAATTGTAAACATTTCATTAGGAGGAAAGTTTTTCATGTCAGCTGGACAGTCTTTATGGCCAATTATGTTCCCGAAGCTTTACGCCTATTGATATTAACACAAACAGTACTGTGTACTGGTATGCATAAAATATGTTATGTATTTACACACACATGCATACATACATACACCTCTTGCTACTAGTCCTGATAACACGGCAACGTTGCCAGAATGAAGAAACACAGTATAATGACCCTGCAGAATTAGCGGTTTGCAAAGCACTCACCACTTCAGTTTATTTAATACCAATAATGTACACCACACAAAGATCTCTAGCAAAGTGGATTAAAAACATGAGCAACATCTTTTTGAAGGCTGCATCTTTGCTTTATTCCGAAGTTAGTTTCGCATAATTAAGATCCGTCATCATGGCCCTTGTTATATGCCATTCTTTCTTTACTTTTATTGAATAAGCAGAACATGCTGGAGAAACTATGTTTTACATCTGTACTTGCTCTCATACTTAATGGATCAAAAGATCTCCCAACTGAAACCTCAACTAGCCATGTCCTAAGTTAAAACACATGGCAGGAAATGAAGTTTTCCATAAAATAACATTTAGAGTCTTCTACTGTTCAATAAAATAACAATATGCTTGGCAACTTTTACTAGCTCACATTTTTAATGCTTTGATGGAGTCAGCATCTAAGAGGAAATTCCATCATTCTGATTTTAAAAGCTGCTTTTCTGTGGGATATTTTGATATTACTTCTGCAAAAGTTTCTATTCAGGAAACAGGTCTTTCTGTGGGAAACCTGGCTGGCTGTCTCTGCTCACTCCCATCTATTCACTTGCTGGCTTACAATTTAAACAAAGCTAGGGTGAGAGATGACTTGAAACAAAACTAGAGTTAGAGCAGAGAATTTCAGCGTTGAGGGACAATCTAGTCATTGTCAAGAACAGCATGTTACTTCACACACAGGGACTCCCAGAGACACCAGAGCCATTTAAATTGTGGCAGACACCAACCTGCTGAGTAGGGATTTGACTAAATGAAACTGGTTTTACTGAAGTGATTTAGTGACAGGAAGGGCCACAAAACTCTGTCAACTATAAAATTTTACTTCTCGGTGGCCTATCCCATCAAGTCTACATCCAGGCAAGGAAGGCCCACCTACGCTGAATCTCCTCTTTGCCCTTTCCCATCTTTACTTCAGGAAGCATTTTCTCCCACCCATCAGCCTTTTCTCTCCCTCTGGAGGGAACACAGGTGAGTTCTTGGCTATCCCGTCTCACGTTAGAACATCAGCCGCAAACACCTATATATAGTGCTCACCATGCATTACTTTACATACATTATCTCAGTCAATCTTCACAACGACCCTCGAAGGCAGGTGTTTCGTGAGAAAACTGAGGCCCCACCGCTTCTAAGTGGCAAAGCGGTGATTTGATTCCCGACACCTGCCCTCTGTGCTTTGCAGCTTCTCAAATCAACACACGAAACAAGCCTTTCCCTTAACCCACCTATCATCACCCCTTTCTCTACTCATATTCATGTAAAGTTAGTCCCTGAGTTGTATGTGGTCCTCGTCTGCTTTCTGGCCTTCTATTCTCCCCCAGCTATAGCAGGGTGCCAAAGCCGGTCTGGTCACCCACCACCTCTTTCTAAAGACCCAGTGATAGCTTCTCGGCAGAATTCCGCACCCTGGCCACTCTCTTCTAACTCAGGTCTTCAACACCCTGCTGCCCCCTGCTCACTCCCTGCCCCTCATCTCTGCTGAACACCCTCTCGCCCCACCTTCTGCTGAACCTCTAAATATTGACTCATCCCAGAGTTCAGGCCTGGCTTCTCTTCCCTTACTCTCTGTATTGCTCTTCAACCTACTGGCCACCTCTCAGGTGATAAAAGCAGTAACGATCTCTCTATATGCCTTAAACTTTTTCTTTCCAGCAGTAAAATCCAAATGTGTATATCCAACTGCCTTTACCCAATATTTCACACTTAACACAGAACTCTTTCAGTTCTCCTGTTTCTTCCTATGCATTTTTTGGGGAAGATTTCAAGTGTACACAAAAGTAGTAAAAATAACATAATGAATTCTCATGTACCCATGACCCCAGGTTCAATAGCTGATTTAAGTTGGCAAAACTCACAGCCAACTTGTTTCACCTGTGATTCCAAGTTCTTCCCACCCTCACACCTCAATTTACTCCAAAACTGAGTTCTTACTCTCGTCCTCCAAACTTGTTCTTCCCCACCTTAGCCAATACATACTACCATCCAAATCCACCAAATTATTCAAACCCCAAAAGGAGGGGGCTGGTCCCTGCAGGAGCCAATCACGTGACTAGGGGTGTGGCAATATCAACCCATTCCCCGGAATTTCAGGAAGAGGGACGCAGGTTGAATCAACCGCCAGTTGATAACCAAGCACGCCTGTGACGGAGCGCCTCTAACAACCCATGGGACGGTTCCAAGAGCTTCCAGCTTGGGGAACGCATGGAGATTCAAGGAGATTGGGGTGCTCGGTGAGTAGGGGAGCTCCAAGCCTCTCTCCCAGCCATCCCCTGTGTGTCTCTACCATGTGGCTTATCCTCAGCTGTGCCCTTCTATAGTATACCAGTGACCTAGTAAGATGTTTTCTCTGAATCCTGTAGGCTGCAAACTTAGGGGACTCAGGCGGAGGGTCTTGAGAACTCCAGAATTATAGCTGGTTGGTCAGAAGCACATGTTGACAAGGGGACTAGAGACTGGCAGCTGGAGATGGGGAGGCTGAGAGTCTTGGGTGTCAGCTTGAGCCCTTACTGTGGCATCTGATGCTCTCAGGGTAGACTGTGTCCAAACTGAGTAGAATTGTAGGAAACCCAGCCAGTGTTGGAGGACTGCTTGATGATATGGGAAGTCCCGTACACACACACGAAGTCACACACACACACACGAAGTGGCTACAGATCCCTTAAGGTAACAAGACATAAGGCATCTGTAAGACAACACATAGACTTCTACAAGAAGCAAACTAGCACAGCTGAAAAAGAGTTAGTGGCTTCTCCAAGACCAATGAGGTGCATAAAATCAGTTTCTCCTGACAGGAGCCCCTTCTAGACTGAAGGCAAGGACCTTACCTATCATATTTAATACTAGAATCTCAGGACCTACAGTGCCTGGCATTATTTCCAAGCGAATGGCTGAGAATTAGTAATTGGAAATTTTTTTTCACTGGCAAGTTTTCCCACGAAACTGCTGACTAGAGTCCGTTTCACTCAGGGCCAACTCTCTGCAGAGGTCAAGCAGTGACCTCACCAATGAAGTCATCTAAGCCTTGCTTGAACAATCCTTCCTGCATTACAATATTTCTACTCTTATCTCCTTGACATTTCTAAGCCAGACTGCTTATTCTTCGATCCTTAAGAAAAACATGTGAACTTGAGCACAGTCAAATGTCATTCAATTCAGAGCTATTTCTGGCGTGGGCAGGACCCTCTTCCCCCCACAAGCTGGTTATATTTATTTCAGAAAAGAGGCATTAACATCAAAATACAGACATTCAGCAAATTCTGTGGAGGAAACACCCCAACAGGGAGAGGACATTTTTGGGCTGGGAATGTTCTGTTTTTCACCCACTCCAGGAGGGGCAACAGGAATGACAGCTTTCCTCTGGCCCTGAAGGGCCATGAGCTAACCCCCAGGCTCAGCCTCTTTTGTACAGAGCAGAAGACTTGCTACCTTTCGGCTGCCTCTCACACCTGAACTGAAGGACAAATGAGAAGTGGGGAGCTCTGTAAAATATACTTGTGGTCACATTAAAGGCAAGAATGGTGGAGGAGCAGGAGGAGATGGTGTGTTCAGTCATGGCCCAACCTGCGGTGCTGTTCATTCTGACAAGTTGAGCGGCTGCTCCATGGTGAGGAAGGGTTGGGGTGAACCTCTGATGATCTTACACCACTAGGGTAGCCTCAGCTATCACTTAGTTTTATCTCCCCACTCCCAGATGTTGTTCCTTTTGGCAAAGAGCAGAAATGAGAAACAGGAAAAGAGTCAGAGTTGGAAATTTTTCTGCCTGGGCAACCCTGTGATAGAATTACCCCTGTAACTTTGACTCCTAGGGCATTAAATGATCAACTCTCCATCATTAACACTATTAGAAGGACTATTACTATTACTATTACTATTACTATTCTGTGTAGTGTGCTTAAACTTGGCTCAGAATAACCCCCCAAATTCCCACTGCATTTGTCCCGGGCAATTCTAGAATGACTCTTCTGACTCGGAGGATGGCAACGCTGGCCCACACACCCCATCTAGGTGCTTTGGTAAATCACATGTTATTGGACCCAGTGGTACTGACTTGTTTACGTGCTGTCTGTGGCTGTCTTCACATGTCACAAAGGTAGAGCCGTGTATCTGGAACTAAGAGAGTGAGGCCCAGCGAGCCTACAACGTTTACAATCTGACCCTTCCCAGAATTACCAAACCCTGCTATAAATCTACTTAGATCAAATACAACAGGAGAGTGTTAAAGAAACCACTCTTTCTTCAAAACAACAGTTTCACTCTTTAAAAAGAAATCCTAACAAAGCTCCCACAGAACTAGAAGTTTTGTATATTGAACAAAAATAAAAAGCATTTTTAGAATGTCACCAGTGAGAAAGGCACATTAACCACACACCCTAAATGTATTATGCTGAACTAATTTTCCAGTCTTCCCTCCCAAAAAAACCTAAAGTACTGGCTTAAAGTTGACTCCAACAGACTACCCCAATCCCAAAGTGATTTTCTGACAATACTTTCAAGCTATTACAGAAACAGCTTGAATAGGAGTCAAACAATATTCTTTTGCAAGAAAGTGTACCCTGCTTATATTATAATAAAAATTAAACGAATGTACAACACAATTTCTGACCATGTTTACAGAAATCTATGATCCTTCCTTGCATGAAATACATAGCATTTTTTCTTACTGTTAGTTTAAATACACTTACAACACTAAAGCTAAATATGTCTGAATAAGAAAAAGTCAAGAGGGAAATTAAATGTTCAATGTTTTTAAATGAAAATAGGGTTACTCAGGTAGTGTGTAAGGATCCCTTGATTTCCCAGCCCTGACCCCCTCTCCCACCTCTGAGTGGCAGATTAGTTTTCTATAGTCTGAATGTGGTGGGGAAACTCTGCACCTAGGACAGGAAAAAGAGCTTTCGCTTCTCAGAGGTGAGAGTTTTCTCCTTGAGTAAATAGTTATTCTGAGGTAGGGAGAAGAACATGACACTCGGTGCTGACTGAGAAAGAAAACGTAAGTGACTCGAGCGTGCTCCGTTCAAGAGCCCCGACAGCCAGCCTTCAACGGGACAGCCAGCCTTCAACAGTAGGCCTGTGAACAAGGGCCCTTAGGTGCTGCCTCTTCCCTTCAGAGATTCATCCTTTTATTCCAAGTCTGAAGGGTAAAATCTGAGTACTCCCCTGCCATCTCTCCAAGCCTATTCAGAAAAACTCTGAGGGGAAACAACGAACTTTCCATGGCGGCCTTTCAAGGGGCCAAGCTGCTCAGCTAGTGCCTCTTCCACAGGCCGGGCCCAGCCAGCGCAGGCCAGTCCCCGTCCCAGCCGAGTGGACTGTACAGCCAGAACTTGCCGCCGCCGCCCACAAGTACGAACCTCCTGTCGAACAACACTGGCGGTTCTCTCCAAGTGGTCGGTTATCCTTTTGGATTTCATCATGCTTTAATAGAAAGTAAAATGAGGTTACCAAGGATTCTCTTCCCGCCCTGTAATTCAACAACCTTCCCCTCAGGGGCTGGCTGCTCGCAATACAATGTGGATCCCAGCAAAATGCCACCCCCTAACTAGAGTTTGGGGAGCAGCCGATGGCACGAAGCGCCACGTCAGGTAATGTGCTCAGAAGGTGATGTGCCCCTTGCTCCATCAGCGAGTCACTTCTCTGCAAAGCGACCTCCAATGACACTGCTGGCCAACGACTCACCTGGTTAGAGAAAGGGGGCGCCGGGCGCAGTGTGTCATGCTCAGCCAAGTGGCCTGTGTGCAGACCGTGCAAACGGAGCCTCTCCACAGCCAGGGAATCACGACGGCTGCACCAGCCATGGCACTTCCTGGGGAAACATAAAAAGGGGAGTAAAAATATCTCCAGGAAAAGTTGCACATATGGACTCAGTCGACATCTGGCAAATGTGGAGTCAGATGTAAGCACACTTAACGTGGATACTCTTCCAACAATAAATTTATTAAAATTAACTTGTTCAGGGCCTGCCAAAGAAGTCAGAAAAAAATAATATTCCCATGATCTTTTCTTTCTTTCTTTTTTAAATATATATTTTTAAGATTTATTTATGCATACAGAACTTGGGGTACAGGCCAGAGGTACCGGGGCGGTGAGAGGATTCACCACAGGCAGATGGACGAAGTACAATGCTGAGGGGAGCAGCAGGCAAGTCAGGAGAGATCTGCAGTGCCATGTGGGTCACCTCGGGGGCGAAGCGTCTAGCTTGCAGTGCTGTGCTCTAACCTGTTGGGCCACCAGGGAGGGCCCTAAACTTTTATTTCTTAAGATAATAAGGAAGGAGTGATATAGAACATGTTTAAAGGTGGCCATTTGGGGCAGAGAAATATTAGAAATTGGCAGAGTGATAGGAAATGGTAAGAATCAATACTTTCTCAATAGATGCATTATTTTTAGAATTTGAAGTATCCAGGAAATCTTTGAGTCCTGTTTTGTTTTTTAACTTTTATCCAAGTAAAACATACACAGGATCACTATGGTTAAAGGCCTTAGTTGCTAGTTTTCTCTCCAGTAAATGGAAAAAGCATAAGGGCCCTTTCACCTCATGTGAGACTACTAAATGTTTCTCTCCTTTCAATGTGCTAAGCCAGCAATGGTGCATTGATCATTGAAAGAAAGTGCAACTTACTTTAGGGTCCATGAGATTTTAGTGTATGGCGGGTGGACTGACTGACACGCTACTTTGTCCTGGTATTACACCAAGACTTGGGAGCTATCCCCATTGGGACATGAGCATCCACACATAGAAAGTCTCACAAAGTTCCTGCAATGGCAGAGACGACGTGTAAGAAGATAGTTGGGGAACCATAACAGTTGCAAGTGTCTCAGCGGCAGAAGAGAAGCCTTGTTAGAACATTACCACCTCCAGCGAGCCAACCAGCAACGATTCACTTTCCATCAAGTCTTCCTCCTGTTTCCACTTTGGATTGTTATACCCACTGCATCTGTTTTCATCTTTCTTACCCTGTCTTTAACTCCTGCTACTCAGGACCCACCCCTGAAACACTAGAGGGAAAACTGAAATGATACAATCGCGTATCATTCATTGAAGGCCAGGTGCTGGATAAAATTCCGTCAAAATAAAGAAATGCTATTCTCCTCAATATTTTAGGCAACTAAAATATTGCTAAAATAACTTGTTCTCGAAGAAGACACATCTTTTAGTAATTATGATGCTAAATGGTCTATTGCTCGACTGAACTGGAAAATAATTTTTTTTAATTTTTAAAAGCTGTTCTCTGTAAAATTCTAGAATTTCTGAACAGTAACTGTGAGCAACAGTGACACCTACTGGTAGGAAAAGGGTATTTTCATCAAAGTATGTTCATATCTTCGAAGGTACTAAGGTATTAAAACACACACACACACAAACACACACACACACAACCAGCAACTCCAACTAAAAAAAAAAAATGGTTTCACATATTTAATGTAAGTTTGAGTAACTACAGTGTTAAGTAATTTCTAAATCCACACAGAAAAAAATATTCCATCAGTTTGTGTCCTCACAGGACTAACCTCTCCAAAAAATAAATAGTATTTTTGAAATATAAAAATTCTGAGTGCAAAATGATAGTTACATCCATTTAAGTAGTAAAGCACATGTCACTGCAAATAACAGATTAAGACTTAAGATGAACTGCTCTGGCTTCTGTTCAGTCACACACAATTTATTTGCAGTGACAGAGGAGACAGGTACTTTGTGGCCCAGAAGCAGACCCAAGGCCCCCACCATCATGACGCTTTCGTTACAGTGTGGTGTACAGACACCAGTCCACAGAGAATGGAAAGGGACACAGATTTCAACTCATAAGTGTGACAGGGAGGTAAGGCGGATGGAGTGGGGGAGGACTATCAGGAAAGTCCTCTCTCAAGAGACATCATAGCTAGGCCTGGGGAGGAAAAGCAGTCAAGCACACGTTAAGGACAGATTTCGGGCCAAAGTCCGGTCACAGAACAGGCCAGTTTGTGCAGGAACTGCAGCCAGCGTGAGTGGAGAGGGCTGAGTGATCAGCGGTGCTGTAGAACAACCGACATGTGGTGTGGTGAGGACACAGATATAACAGCCAACATGTGGTGTGGTGAGGGCACAGATATAACAGCCAACATGTGGTGTGGTGAGGGCACAGATATATGGGCGATGGAAGTAACTGAAGGGTTTGAATAAATTTACTTTTATTTTTCTTCATAAGGAACAAGAGTTTTTCATTTGTTCACTTCTTGATGTGCAGTACTCCTCAGAGGCACCATTGGTCTGAGACTCTTAGCCATCATCCTTAACTACCACCAAACTATAAGCAATGACTTTAACCAGTTTCCCCTCCCTGTCAATTTCACAGAGGCCCACCCATTCACTAGTTTTTTTGGTTATCATCCTTAACTGATTCGGTTCAGCACAGAGGCCTCCACTGATCTGGTATACATAGGCTCATCAGTGTCAGATGCAAGCACTCCAAAAGGCTTGGTGCTATCTGAGGCTTTGGCAGCTTCATGGACTCCTTGCTAGGCCAGCAAGGATGAGGGTAGTTTTTAGCACCCCCGGTAAAGTATAGTAAGGTCCATTGCATCTCCAGCAGTGATGCCATCTCAGCCATGACAGTGGGTTCTTGGTGAAGCCAGATCTGGAAAGCATCCAATCAGTAATCCTAATGTGCGTTCTTAAAGGGCTGCTGATGCTGTTATGTGAAAAACGGATCATCAAGGGGCAAAAACTGAAGCAGGAAGCGTAGTTAGGAGGTTCCAGTCTGAGATTAGAGTAGGGTAACAGCCAGAGACAACAGAAGTAGAGGAACATGGGATACATTTTGGAATTAGTGCTCTATGACTGACAGATCAGATGAGGAATGAGAGGTAAGTTAAAATCCAAGAACATCTCACTGAGTATTAATGCACTGAAGCAAAGTAAACTCCAGGAACTATCATGTCATGTGTTCTTAGAACCCTACGTCCTGTGGGCAAAGCAAAGGGCCACTTGTTTTCACATTTGGTAAGGAAACCTAATGATAAACTAGTTATTAGAGCACTTCACATAGAATCGGTAGAAATGGGCTCAGATCTGTCTCCATCTTGCTTTCTGATCTTGCATCAGTCACCTCCTACCAATTTTAATGGGAACAGTAGAGTTACACCCCATCAAGTCAGCTTGTATCACAGGAGGCATTGGCACTGCACACAGAACAAACCACCTTTTATTTGCACTTCACTTCAAGGTATACAGAAGCCCCATGACAATAACTCTACCTGCTGACATCCTTCCTTTCACACAGAAAAAAACGGTGGTTCGTGTAAATATTAAATTGTTTCTGGGTTTTGGGGTCAGACCGGCTCTTCATTTCCTACGTGATCTTGACCTAGTCACCCAACTCTCTGTATCTCCATTTGACGGTTAACAAAGTGGAATAACATCTAAACTCCTGGGAGTAATGGGAGAATTACACTTAGTGTAATATATGCACACGGCAAGCTCCCAACAACAAAAGGTGCTGCTGCTGCTATCAATACACGGCTGTATCCAATAATGCTGTAAGCCTGGCAACTACGAGAAACTAAGACGCAATCTCTGGTCCCAGGTTATGGTCCTTTCAGCAACACAAATTATACATTTAAAGATAATCCGGGGTAAGGAAGAAGAGGAGAGGTACCTGAAGAGCCAAGTGCGGCCAGGAATTATAGGCTAAGCGTCGCCCTGAGCTCAAAGTCATGCGGTGAATCAAAATTCCCAGGGAGCTTTCATTCGTCAGTGGGGAGGCAGGGAATGAGTTCGAGGTGACTGAACGGCTCCCCGCCGCCGCACCTGAAGCTAAGCAGAGTCCCTTTTTTCGCAGGCGCGGAGGGCTGGGTTGATGCTACCTAAGCCCACGCGGTCTCCAGCCAGGTCTGACTAAGGTCCCGTACCCACCGCTGCTTTAAAAGCCCCCGCGCCGCGGCAGCGATCCCCTATCTAACAAACCCGGCAAAACTCACCGCCGGCGCTCGAGAGCTTCCGGTGTCCTTGCGGTGACGTGAGAGAGCGCGTGAGAGCTCCACATTCTATTGGTCGCTGCCGTCCAATAGGAAGAGAGGTGCGTTTCGTCTCCGCCGCAGGGAGCACCGTCTTCGGTGTCTCCGCCCCCTAGCTCAGCCATCTCCATGGCGACCACTCCCCGGTCACCTAGTTGGCCCCGGAACCCAGAGTTGCGTCATTATTAGGCGCCGGAAGCAATCGCACCTTCGCCGGGATGTATGAGAGCGCCTGGCTCGGGCCGGCGCCCAAGTTTGCCTGAAAGCTGTGTGAGACTTGATGGGGTGGAGCCCTTTGAGGCCCCAGCGACCATGGCGGTTTTTCACGACGAGGTGGAGATTGAGGACTTCCAGTATGACGAGGACGCGGAGGCCTATTTCTACCCCTGCCCATGTGGGGATAACTTCTGCATCACCAAGGTAACTTGAGGGGCACGCCCGGCCTCTCGCCTCAGCCGGCGCCTTTCGCTCAGCCGAGTTACTTTCCTGGTTCCGTCGCTAAACTTATCTACTTTCTTTCTGTCCAGTTTCTGCCCAAGTGGATGCTGTGAGCTGCCAATGGGCGCCTGGTCTTGCCTTTAGTTAGACTGGGGGGTGGCGATGGGAACTGACTGGTACCTATCTGCTCCTTGGGGTCCGACTTCGCATACTTGTTGGACGAGTTTATGTCTTCCCAAGGGTTTTGAGGCATCCAGACTTTGTCAAGCTTCCTATGTGTTTCCCCTAAGTGACATTGCTACAGACGAGTGGGGTCGGCTTTTCTCTTTGGCTCTCACGTAATTGGGGGGAGGGATGCCATGAAAAGGATTAGAAATAAGGCAGGAGAACTCGGGGAAAGATATTTTGCTAAGGGAAGATTATGCTGATGGTACGTTGTTTGTTTTGTTATAGGAAGATTTGGAGAATGGGGAAGACGTGGCCACGTGTCCTAGTTGCTCTCTCATCATAAAAGTGATATATGACAAAGTAAGGAGTCGAATTTCAAAGGTGGGGGAAGGGTTGTGGCAATGGCCAGGACTTAGACACCCCTGTCTATGATGTGTAAGGAATGTTTCATAAAAGTGTTAGATGCTGCTTGTTTAAAAAAAAAAAAAATTTATACCATTAATAAACAACTGTTTGTAAATTAAACGCCGCTTTTAGAAGTTCAGATTACTATAGCTTTGAAAGGACAATTCCAAAAATGCTCTTTAGCTAGTGAAAATTATTATTTATTAAATAGGAGAAAACTAATTATGGAGGTTATGTAATTGACAGTCTTCCTCCTTTGTTTAATAATATGTTCAGCACACCTAGTCTTATTTTGAAGGCAATGATTGCATATTTCTATGTAATCTATTTCTAAAACTCAGCCTTGTCTTTAGAAATGTCATAGTAGCAGTTTTCCCATTTTGAACAGTACTTTGAATGGAGACTTCATTATGGCATTTAACCTGTTTTAAGAATGAAGTCTAAAATTAATATAGGAAAAGTGAGAATGAGGCACTTAACTTCATGAGAAAAGCATGATAAAATTTAGATTCTAATTTGGAAAAGTAATGATTTGCTCTTGTATTAGCATGTGTGCTGCAGCAAAAAGAAATTAGAGTAAAAGAGATGGGGGTACTCTGGGAGGAGGTTGCAGTTTTAAACAGAATGATCATGGCCGCTTGATTGAGAGGCCTTTTTGAGCAGATGGAGCAAAGCAAAGATGGGCAGGAGTGAGATGGAATTTATGGAGTGGGGCAGATCACAAAGGTGTTTGTGGCACACTTAAGGACTTCATCTTTGGATTGAGAGATCCATGGTGGGTAGATGACATGACAAAGAAGAGTGTGATGATATTCCCTGATGATGTACAGGTCAGACTTTATAGACTAGATCTAGAAAAAGGAGAATAGTGTTGAATAGAGCAACCAGCCCTACCTGCAATCTCTGTGACCCTAGGACTCTGCGAACACAGAACCGTCACTGGTGACGTAGAGGACAGTGTCCTTGGGGGTGGCCTCAGTTCCTCAGGCATTCTGGACATGTTGCCTGAATAACTCCGTTGTGCAGAACTGACTGCATTGTAGGCTGGTTGGCAGCATCCCTGGCTTCTGCCCATTGAGTGCCAATAGCAGCCATTCCTCTCCCCGCCCAAATGTCTCCAGACCTTGCCAGATAACCACCAGAGAAATGAAGCAAGCCCTCCCTCCTTGCCTCTGAGCCACTGAGTTAGAGCAAAGGAGCACAGGGACATTGTAAAGAAGAAGTTGGGAATATGGAGTGTTGTGTTCACGGTGGACCACAAATTTCACAGAGCACATGGGAGGGGTCCAGGTGCTGGGTGGGAATGACAGGTAGGGCTGGCGTTTACAGCATCCTGATAGCAGGTGAAAGGTCATGGGCAGACATTGCTTGTGGTAGTTGACATAAGCCAGGATAAATAATCAGAGATTGAATTTCATTTACAAAATAGCTAACATTACAGATTATCTACACTAGGAAATGTGTACAGACTACTCCCGATAGTTAGAAGAAGTAATTATTTAGAAAAGGGTAATTGAATGACCAAATGTTGAAGTAGAGAAATTTTAGTATCGCTAGTATTTCATAAACTTTCCAAGTGTGATATGTCTGCAGATGTGATTTCTGAGACATGTTTGTTTATAAGATGAGGTGCGTTATATTAACTATGAGTTTAGGCCTAAAAACAGACACACTTTTAAAATTGTTATTTCAGTGCTGATTTTAATTCTGAACAAGGATGAAGTGATAGAGCAGTAGAAAAACTGGAGTGATTTGTAACAAAATGAAAGTTAACAGTAATGCATTTGTGACACAGTCAGTGATTAATGTCATTTCTTGTTCTGTCTTAGGATCAGTTTATGTGTGGAGAAACAGTCCCAGCCCCTTCCACCAACAAAGAACTAGTTAAATGCTGAAGAAGGCGTTAGGGTTCGCAACCCTACACACTTGGGAAAGCAAAGTCCCTTCTCTTCCTGGTGGCTGCCACTGTGAGGGTTGCTGTTCCCTCATCTGCTCTTAAAGAAGTGAGTGCACAGTTTGCCTGGATTTCATGCTTAGACCTTTGGATTGGAAATGTTCTTATTGTCCATCTGAATTGAAAGGAAGAACATTTCTGATCATTGCTAGCTTGCTTTCTGTTTGACCATTTGTATATCCTATACCTAATTACTTCGTTCTTTGATAACAGCATCATCTACCTCAAAGTCACTAGGATTCCTTAATAAAAAGGGGGTTTTATTTTTGATTTGGTTGGTAAGATTATAAAATTAGCTCTTTCTTTGACATGTTCACTTAGCTGTTCAGAACTTTAGTTCCCTTGTCAGTTCTGCACTTCGGGTCCCCACGTGAAACCAGCACCTCAGTTTTGCCATGCTCACCGGTGAAAACCTGTCATTTCCATTATACGTTGTGCGGCCAGCTCTGGTCATGATATTAAAGTAAAAAACACCGAGCTCACGATTTCTCCAGAACTGAAAACAGTAAGGAAAGAAAGTCAAGAAGTGGCGTGTTCAAAGACTGTGGAGCTTCCCTACCAATCTTCTGCATGTTCCTTGAAAATTGGGACAGGATCAAAAGGAAAACTGCTGAAGGACGTGAAATTGATAACCAAATAAGTGAAAGTTTTGCCAAATTAGTGAGTTTAAATACTTGAAAGATCTTGTCAGGTCAGAGCAAATAATGTCTGTGTCTGGGTTCTTGTTTGTCTATGTGTCTTTAGCTTAGGCTCATGAAATTGCATTCCAGGTATGGCTTACGTCTGCCTTCACAGTATGCTCGGCAAACCCCATGACTACTCCTAAGGGTAGCGTGGCCACAATGACTCTCGCATTTGCTAAAAATAAGCTTGAAAATGAAATATTAGGGCACACCTAATAAACCTGGATACCTATAACCAAACCACACATTTATTCAGAGAAATATGGCCCTGGAGTAAAGGAAATACATAAAGAAAGACCATCCGTCTTTTGCTGCAAGGCTGAGAGTAGCAACATTAGAATCACTTACATGGAAATTCAGAAATTCCCTTTATATATACGATTTTGTGTATATAATGTTAACAGAACTTACAGGAGGCTTTGGGACTAGCTCCTGCAATTAGAAAACTAGCTCGCCGGAATGTGACTCTCCTTTACTGGTAAATGTGCCACGCACACTCTTAAAGGGTTTACTCTGATATGGTGAGAAGTCATAACTGGGGCACTAACACCCCAGAAATGGTCCACAGCTGTTAGGAACTAATGAACGCTGAGAAGAACGAAGCAGGATCCATGCGAGCAGTGGGAAGGAGAAACGAACAGCCCCATACACAGATGATGATTTTGTAAATATCAGAGATGCATTAGTTGCCTCTGCTGCTGCTGAATTGCAAACAAGGACACCTTGATGGTCTGTGAGCATGAAAGAGCAGGAGAAGTTGCCCGAGTCCATCCCAGGTGAAGCATAAAGGGCTCTAGCAATCAGTGACCTGTGGTAAGCTGCCCTCATGAGAATAATTTTAAGGTCAGAGCAACTGAGTCACTAGGTTTACTTTTACCACAAAGCACACATCAGGATTTAACACTCTGTGAGACAGGAAGTAAAACCAGGATCTTTCAGTTATGACTAGGGTTCTGGGGGATTTATGTGCCTGCCTTAAGCTCAACAGACATTTCAGAGCGCCTCAGAAATGGTCTGTAATGCAGGCTCTGTCTTACTATCTCGTAACCTTTGGCAAGGCTAGTGAGTTCCTCATCTGTACAACTAGAAGATGATCAGGCGATATCTTTCAGATTCAGTCATCATAGATTGGAAGAGCTGAAGTCATTGAAATCTCCATGAACTCAAAACGAAATCATGATAAAGTGACTGTTCTTCAGTAACTTCAGTACTCACAGTTCTGAATTTGGAAATGGTCAAGTCATCTGTTGAAAGGAATTTTGTATATATTTGAGATGTTCAGAAAACACCCCATATTTTTGATAATTGTACATATTAATTTATTACCAGAATAAATTATATTGGCATACTAAATAAAGTCAGATCAATCAGATCCATTCGTTTTGATGTAATTTTTCTTCCCCTAAATAACATTTTGTGTTAAGTGGTTTTGATGGAGTTTTGACTGAGGAGGAAGTCTGTAGCCTGTTTGGGGCATGTAAATAGTTATTTTGGTATAAAAAGCAGAGTTTTGAAATAGAAAAACAATTAAACAATTTGTTGGTTGCACGGGTTTGCACTCAGGTTATTTGTCATTATTAAAAAAAATAAGGTTCTGAGTCAGTGGCAGTAACGCAAAGATAGTTGACTTTCTTAAAGTAATTGAGTTTGATTGTCAGGAAAGAAGGCTGATGATCAGTTCTTGCAGCTCTGGTCAGGATACAAGTTGACCCTCAGTTCCTATACTCTGACCTTGGAGAAGTAACAATCACTGTAGCTCTGTCCTGATCTGTGAAATGTAGACCACAGTAGTACTTCCTCGGGGCTGCTCTGGGTTCACTCTATCGGCAAGTGTTTGGTGTGCCAGCTGGAGGATGGGCATTAGTTGAAGAGGACAAGTGAGCTCTGCCATCTGGGAGCTTGCAGGCTCCCTGCAAGAAGAGGGGACAGTTGGAGCCTGTGACAGAAAGAAAGAAACCAGGTGATGTGCTAGTGAGTGGGCAGGCGCCTTGAAAAAGAGTAAACAAGGCATTTTAGGTCAGGCACATTTTGAGACGTCAGAATAAGGAAACCTGTGAAAATGATTTTGTGAGCTAATAACAAAACGTGAAAAGCAAAAGTGAACTGTACTATTTCCCAAGGAACTCTACGTTTTGAGCACAGACAGTATTAGAATGGACATGAGCAGGCTCAGCACTGGAGACCTCGCCCTCTGCCCTTACTGAGCCTGTCTGGGGTCGGGCTTCAACAAGCCCTCCAAGTGATTCTCATGCTGCGATAGTTTGAGAACAGCCAGTCTAGAACTGACTTGTGATGTCACAACACAATTCTCAGTAGAACTCAGTGAATATTGATCAGATCTGACAAAGCACGTCAACATTTAATAGTCTTTGATTGCACAAGGAAAGTCCCTCACCCGTCTTCCCCAAGCCCCGATGCAGGTGAACACACTTGAGCTTGCAGGGAAATCTGAAGAGAGGCGCCTTGCTGCTGGAGGGGGCGCCGAGAGTTCACAGATCATTGCTGTTTTCTCTGAGCTCACAATCATGCATTTTGTGATAAGCTGAGGGTAGGAGCTTTGTGAAGGAGGAGGTGGGTGAATCGGGTCTCTGCGGAGACACCAGTTAGTGAATTGGTGCCCTCTCCTGTGCACGTTCAGCATTGTTTCCTGCTTGCCATCACTTTCTTCCTTGATTTGATTCCATTTTCTCCAGTATGCCAAAAATACGCTTCTCACCACCTTTAACCATGGTGATCTTCAGGGTCACAGTTGCTGCTTCCTTGTGCCTTCTAAGTCTTGCCACATTTTTCATTTTAGCCGACTGTAACCCAGAGCCATGCAGGGAAGAGAATTCTGGGAAGTGCAGCTGCAGTTTAGTCGGTTGATAGTACAAACTAGAATGACACGCAAAACCCAATCAAATCCACTTGGTTAGGGGCCCCACTCAGTGATAAAGAATGAGAAATGTGAGGACCAGCTTCTTGTGGGGTGGGAGATGGTGGTGGCATAAAGCAGGTATCGCCTCTGCCTCTGAGCTTGTGCCTCAGGTAGCTATAGGTCAACTAAGCAGGTGACTGGAAAAGAAAATTTGGTATGAACAAGACAGAATACAAGCTGGAACCCAACCACTACACTGGTGATGACTTCCAGGCAGCTGGGGTTCCTTCCCTGGAGTAGCAGAGTACTAGAACCAAACAAGGGGCAGGAGAACCCAGTTCCAGCCTTCAGAACACAGCAGGATGTCACTGCTTTCCTTCAGGCTTCTGAGCCTTGCACAGAATTTCTCTGCTTCTCTAGTGACCCATGCTAACCCAGGCGCATGCAGGAAGGCCAGTTCTGAGGAACGTGGTCCTGAAGCCCCACCCAGCTCACTCCCAATCTTGGGGAAGTCGAGGCAGGGCCTGACATGCGGCTTGCTCTGAAACAGGCAAAGTCATGTGAGCATGTTGTCCTCAGCTCACGCTTGATGGAGGTGTGCGCCCTGTCATACCTGCATCCGGGTCTGCCAATATGTCTGTCAGGCATCAGTGCATTACAAAGCGCCCGGAAACCTGAAACGCTAGTCACTCTCTTAGCTGGGGACCTGGCTGGGTGACTCAGAACCGCAGATGGGTCTGGTCCCAAATCTCTCCCTTATGGCCAGGGGACTGGCTAGGCAAAAGTTTCCCTCGGCTTAAACTCTTCTCATGAGTGAGCTCCAAGTCAAGGGGACCGGGAAATACAATTCTTCGTGATGAGGGGTGCAGGGAAGGAGAGAGAACTTTTGAAAAGTAATACAGACAGCCACATTCGGTGTATGGGTCAGGATTTAATCTGATGCTTCTGACTCCAAATCCCATTTGCTTTCTTCTGTGAAGTGTGTTTAAATAATTGAAGGACTTTTCAAGTGATCACATGGAGGCAGTTGGAACATTAGAACAAGTCAGCCACCCTCACCCCACTGGCCAGACAGCAGACCACGGTCCCAAAGGATTGGTTTTGAGCTGAGCAAGACTTTGATGCAACAAAACTCTAGTAATAACAGGTTAATATTTCCAAAGTCTGCCATAAATAGCCACTTAAAGATATTTATTAGCTCCAATTATAGAGAAATATGGGCCCATATGAAACGCGCCTAGGGTTTCATTAAAAATGAGATGGAGTGTGGGGCCCTCCCTGGTGGCGCAGCGGGTTAAAGCACAGCACTAAGAAGCTAAAGCCACTTCAGCATGAGTTCGATCCCCGCCTGCCCCGGAG